AATTCTGAACCCGCCCCTGATGCCGAAGGGAAGGGGTGGCTAAGGTACTTCTCGTCGGCCAGCAAGGCCGCCCAAACCAAGTGGTTGTTTTTTTTGTTGCGCTCCTCCTCGCACTACTGATGTGGAGCTGCACAAGCCCGCCACAGGGGGGAGACCATGGTGGAGAAGGGTGGGTCCATGCTTCTCACTCATGGTCTTCCAATCTGGTGTGCAAGTTTAGTTGTCGCAAGTGCGGTCGTTGCGCTCATTTGCCAGGGTCTGGATACCCAATGACCTTTAATGCCCTCCTCCTCCTCCTCCTCCTCCGCCTCCTCTTCTTCCCCCCCTCTTCCTTCTCCTCCCCTTCTCTGCTAGCTCCTCATGTCAACTCCCTGCCCCTCCTTCTCCACCTCTCCCGTCCTCTTCCTCCTCCTTCTCCCAATCACAATCAAGATCGTTAACCACCAGCATCATCATCATCATCATGTTCACCGTCATCATCATCACAATCCATCACCATCACCATCCTCGCCCCAACACCGCCATAACCATCGCAATCAAGATCACCATCATCATCAGCATCATCATCATCATCATCATCATCATCATCATCATCATCATCATCATCGTCACCACCATCATCATCACCATCACTATTTCTGTAATCGCCGTGCCTCGTTCACCCCTTTCGCCCGTACTGCCTGGCTGGACTCGCTCTCATATCACTGGCGGCCGTCACACCCGCGCGGGGGTGGGGGGGCTGCAGGCACGACAGGGTGTTTTGGACCATCGGGCAACCGCTGCGGCTGCCCCGCGCGGTTGCGGCTCCCCGCCAGAACCCAACAACGCGCCAGTTATCCGGATCTCCGAAATTACTGCGCTACGCCGCCAATGGTCATCAATTTCCACCTTGAGGTACCGGCAGCAGATTGCAACAGCTAAGGCATGGTTCAACAACGATCCGTTTCTATTTCTCGTTTCTTTCTGCCACGAGGTGCACCACACGTTTGGTTGTCATGCTTTTTGGTGGAGGAACCTGCTGGACTCATGTCTCGCTAGCCGTCGGCCGCGCCCCTGGTCTCTCCGCTTCATGCTGCGCAGGATGGTGCCGCAGTCGCCAGGGATACGGTAACCTTCCCCTCGGGCCAGGTGGGGCAAGGTGCGCGGCTGGCCCCTGGCCGCCGCCAGCGACGTTCAACGCGGTCCAGCAGCGTTGCGGGATAACCCTTGTGGTCGTTCCTTGCCGCGCGGTCTCGCGCTTTTTTTCTGGCCACCAATATTATGATTATGTACATTGGGTATTCTGGTGTCAGGGACGCTGTGCTCATGCTCGCCTTTCGTGCTCTTCCGCGCGGAGCGTTCCTTGCGGGTGTTCGTGGGCAGGATCATCGTGCAGCGCTTCCACGGCGGTTTTTGTTATGAAGACGACCGCGGGGGCCTTATCCCCGAGGGTGTTCGTGGAAGTGGTATTACCATGTTTCTTCTTTTCTTTCTTCGCCACGCTGGTGGTTATAGAGGCCTCTTCGGAAGGTGCTTGTGGAGGTCCTCGACATCGAAGTGCTCGCGGGGGCCTTCTCTGGGAGGGTGTTCGTGGTGGTTCGCTGCGCGCTGGTGCTCGCAAAGACTTTCGGAGGGTGATCGCAGACGTTTTCTTCATGGACGTGCTCGTGGAGGCCTTCTTGTCTGGAAAGGGTGTTCGCGGAGGTCGTCTTCACTCCCGCGTTCGTAGAAGCCTTCCTCGGAATGTGTTCGTGGAGGTTTTGCTTCTGAAGTTTCTCGTGGAGGCCTTTACCAGGAGGGTGTTTGTCGAGATCCTCTTGGTGCTGGTGCTCGCGAAAGCCTTCGTCGGAGCGTCATCGCGGAGGTTTTCTGCGGGAGGATGTTCGCAGAGGTTGTCTTCACTCGCGTTCGCGGAGGCCTTCTTCGGAAGGTGCTCGTGGAGGTCCTCACGAACGTGTTCGCGGAGGCCTTTTCCAGGAGGGTGGTCGTGGATGTCTTCTTCGTGCCAGCGCTCTTGGAGGTATAATTTAATCGGAATGTTCGTGGAGGTATTCATCACCGACGTGTTCGTGGAGGTCTTCTCCGGGAGACTGTTCGCGGATGTCTTCTTCACGCTTGCATTCGTGGAGGGCGCCTCCGGGAGGATGCTCGCGGCGGTCTTTTTCGTGCTGGTGCCTGTGGCGATATACTTCGTGGTGCTCGTGAAGGTTATCGTCGTTACGGTTCGCTGCTTCGTGGTCCTCTCGCTGTTGCTGGTGTTCCTTCTTCGCTGGGTGACGACGCTCAGTGGGTCATCATCTCTGTAGTCGCCGCGCCTCGTCCATTCCTCGGGCCCGTACTGCCTCTCTGGAGTCACTCTCTGGTCACTGATGGCCGTCACACCCGCGCGGCGGGGTGTAGACACGACAGGGTGTGTCGGAACATCGAGCAACCGTTGCGGCTGCACCGCGCGGTTGCGGCTTCCCGCCAGAGCCTAACATCGCGGCTCCCCGGCAGAACCCAACAACGTGCTGCTTGCTTATCCTGATCTCCTATATTCCTGCTATACGCCACCGATACTCCTCATCGTCATACCATCATCACCACTACCATCATCATCACCACCATCACCAGAACCGTCATCATCATCATCATCATCATCATCATCATCATCATCATCATCATCATCATCATCATCATCATCATCAGCATCAGCATCAGCATCAGCATCATCATCATCATCATCATCATCCTCATCCTCATCAGCATCGTCAGCATCAGCATCCTCATCATCATCATCAGCATCATCATCATCATCATCAGCATCAACCGCATCATCATCATCATCATCATCATCAACAACATCTTCATATTCAGATTCATCATAGTCATCATAGCTACTAGTTTCACCATCGTCACCATCATCACCATCATCATCATCATCATCAGCAGCAGCAGTATCATCATCATGATGATCATGATCATGATCATGATCATGATCATGATCATGATCATGATCATCATCCCTCGTCTCTCATCTCTCCCCATCTCTCCTCCAGCCTCCTACTCCTCCTTCGGGCCACAGGGTCCGAGCCCTCATTCCCCTCGGCCTTCAACCTCGTCCTCCTCCTCCTCCTCCTCCGCTTCCGCCTCCTCATCCTGCTGCTCTCTAAAAGTACAGTATCTGAATGTTACTCTACTCTCTTCTCCTGGCTACGTGGGGGAGGCATCCAAACCCCTTCGCGTACTGCCTTTTCAACGCACAGGATTACAACAGTTGGTTCTCCAGCTCTTTGTTTCAACCCTATTGTTTTCGGTTTGTTTCAAAATGATTCTACAGCTGCAGGGTGGACTTCGTTCGGATCGGCGCTATAGTCCCGTCGTTCAGGATGGCGCTCCCGTCCAAATGTGGGCCACTGTTCTGGACCCCACACGTCTCGCAGGTCCCACAGGTCTCGCAGGCCCCACAGATGTCGCAGGTCTCACAGGCCCAAAATGCCACTGAGGTCCCCCAGGCCGCAAAAGTCCCGCAGATCCCACAGGTCCTGCAGGTCCACAGTTCCCACTTGGCCCACTGGTCCCACGAGTCTCACAGCTCCCACAGGCACAGAAGCATCACAGGTTCCACATGTCCCACAGATCGCAGAAGTCCACAATTCCCACCTGCCCCACAGGTCCAACAGGTCACCTTTGCTGCAATTCGGATGCTTCTCTTCTCTTCTTCACATTGCGAAACGATGCGACGATCACAAACCTGACTTGCCAACTACCGCAAATAGTGTCGTGATCAAAATGTCCAAAGCCCACTTCATGGAGATCGCTTCTGCCAGACAAGACGACATCATAATCCATATGCCCCCCCAAAAAAAACATGCCTGCCCGACAGAACAACCGCCCCTGATTGGGGTGCTCGTGTGCGTAGACGACCATGCCGCCAGTAGCTTGCGCATCGCCTCTCAAAGCACCATCTACTGGAGTTCCAGGTCGGCTATGACACGCGTCCGCGGATAAAGCAACATCAGCGCAATGGGAAGGGATGGGAGGGAGGTATTGGATGTCAGATATGGCGCGAGCGCGCCACGTTTGCCTCTCTCCTCTCTCATCGCTTCTCCTCTCTCCTCGCTCCTCCTCCTCCTCCTCCTCCTCCTCCTCCTCCTCCTCTTCCTCTTCCTCCTCCTCCTCCATCCTCCTCCTTCAACCTCCTCCCTCAATCTCCCCCGGAGCGTGATGGGGGGGGGGGATACCGGGGGGGGGGGAGGAGCAAGGTGGGAGTGATATGAAGGATGGGGGAGATGGGTAAGTAAATGAAGGGAATAAGGTGTGGTGTGGGAGGGAGGGGACGAGCGGGGAGGCAAACAGGAAGTACCTCATGCCACACCTCTGGCGATGGGTCACGCTCTCTTGCGTGCCTATGGTGTAATCCCCTGCCTTGTGAAAAGCCGTGTTGGAGCCAAGAGGCTGGCAGGCGTCATCCAACGTTTCCTGATGTTTCACCTGCTCCACATCGTCCTGCAATATATTTCCTTTTCGCCCATGATCATAATCTAGCCCTTGCTCCTGCTGCTGCATTGGCTCCTAATTCTGCTTCTTCCGCCTTAGCCTCTCAATGCTCCTCCTCTTCCTCCTCCAACTTCTCCTCCTCTTCCTCATCATCCTCCTGCTCCTCTTCATCCTCATACACGGCATCCTGATCCTGAGCCTCTTTGCCATCCTGATCCAATCCTCTCTGCTCCACTTTGTTTTGCCGATCTCCACCCTTCCCGTTTTACTTGAGCGATTCTCCAACAATCCAGCGGAAGCGACAGGGTAGATAGCCCAGGGGCGGGCACTACACGTGTTCGCCAAGGAGCGTCGTCGGATACATGGGTGCTCGGCGCCCATGGGTACATGTGATACTCCACCCTGGGCTATTCGCTCCTGCTGCAACTGCCGACACACCTGTGGCTCCACTTCATTCTGCCGCTCTCCGCCAGCCCCGTCCTACCCTGATCGACAGACCCGCAATCGCTCCTCCTCGGCGACTCGGTCCTCCGGCGCCCGGCCTGAGGTCCAGCGCGCGCAGGTACGGCAGGGTGTACACGAGCTGCATTACCAGCCCGATCGCGCTGGAGTCCAGGGCGTTGTCCTGGAGGCTGAGGTAGTGGACCTCGGGAAACGCCCTCGCCAGTCTCCCTGTCCCCCCTCCCTGCGCGTTCCCTCCCATCCCCCCCTCGAACAGGAACACACACCCCTCGAAACCCCAACACGTCCACAACGCCCTTCGAACATGCTCTCGGTTCAGTCCTTTCCTCTCGTCCTTCGGAGCAGCCCGAGACCGAATCTGCGGCGCATGCTCGAGAGAGTGTGAAGCCGGGCCTGCGGCGTTCGAGTGCAGAGTCTGAGGGCGGCTGGGGACCAGGACTGCCAGCCAGGGTGCGCTTGGGAGCGGGTCCGTGCGACGTGAGGGTTTTCTGGAACGCGCCTGCGATTCGTGCTGCCGGCCCTGACCATCACGCCTCCCCATGCTGTCCCTCTGCTTTCCGTCCCGTTCCCTCGGCTACCCCACGCGTGAACCATACTTCTGAGACGCCAGCGGGGGTTCGGAATCTGAAAAACGTCTGCAGCAGAGTGGACCTCAACGAGGGCGCGCCCCATGCACCAGCGCAGCGCCGGAGAGTTATGCCTAAGGGTGAAATAAATATGCGTAGTGCTTTTGCGTAGTGTTTTTGCGTCGTGTTTTGTTTGCGTAGTGTGTTTTTGCATGGTGTTTTTGCGTAGTGTTTTCTTTTGCGTAGTGTTTTCGCGTAGTGTATTTGCGTAGAGTATACGCGGAGCGTTTTTGCATAATGTTGTTGCTTCGTGTATTTGCGTCGTGTCTGTGCTGAGTGCGTTTGCGTGGTGTATTGGCGTAGTGTTTTTGCGTCGTGTATTTGCGTCGTGTATGTGCTGAGTGCGTTTGCGCAGTGTATTGGCGTAGTGTATTGGCGTAGTGTATTTGCGTAGTGTATCTGCGTAGTGTATTTGCGTAGTGCGTTTGCGCAGTGTATTTGCGTAATGTTTTCGCGTGGGCAGTTCTTGCGTAGTGCTTCTTGCGTGATGTTTTCGCGTCGTGTTTTTGCATGGTGTTTTGGCGTCAGCCGCTGGAGCGCCCTGTGACGAGACTTCCCTGGTCACACACGTAGTATGCGGACGTGACGTACTCACGTACGTAATGATTCTCCGTAGTGTATTTGCAAAATGTGTTTTCTGCATCGTGTTTTGGTGTTGTGTTTATTTCAATTTTTGCGCAATGCTTTTGCGTCGTGTTTTTTTTTTTTTTTTTTTTTTTTTTTTTTTTGCGTAGTGCTTGGCGTAGTGTTATTGTGCAGAGTGTTTTCGCGTAGTGTATGTGCGTAGTGTATATGCGTAATGTTTTTGCGTAGTGTTTTTGCGTCCTGTATTTGCGTCGTGTATGTGCTGAGTGCGTTTGCGCTTCCTGAGAACACGATGTTCTATATATATATATAACACTACGCAGAATGCCCTCGTCGCCCGCGTCTCGCGCCAGTTCCGCCCGAATCCGCAACTGCCCGCGGCCTTTGGCGACCGTGACGTGAAACGCGGGCGACGCGGCATGCTGCCGCGTTGGGATTCGGGCGTGTAGTAGCGCCGACTCGGGGCGCTCTTGAAAACACTGCGTAGAAACACTACGCCGAATGAGCGCCCTCGTGGCCCGCGTCTCGCGCCAATTCCGCCCGAATCCGCACCCCCCCGCGGCCTCGGGCGAAACTGTCGAGAAACGCGGGCGACGCGGCATGCTGCTGCGCAGGGGTTCGGGCGTGTTGTTTTCTGCGTGGTAGCGCGCCGACTCGGGGCACTCCTGAACACACCACTTAAAAATACTACACAGAATGCCCCCGTCGCCCGCGTCTCACGCCAATTCCGCTCGAAACCGCGGCTCCCCGCGGCCTCGGGCGAGCGTGACGTGAGACGCGACGCGGTTGACGCGAGGCTTGGGCGTCGTTGTTTGCTGCGTGGTTGCGCGCCGACTCGGGGCGCTCCTGGAAACACTATGTAAAGACACTGCGCAGAATGCCCTCGTCGCCCGCGCCTCGCGCCAGTTCCGCCCCAATCCGCAGCTCCCCGCGGCCTCGGGCGAAAGTGGCGAGAGACGCGGGCGACGCGGCATGCTGCTGCGCAGGGGTTCGGGCGTGTTGTTTTCGGCGTGGTGGCGCGCCGACTCGGGGCGCTCCTGAACGCACTGCGTACAAACACTACGCAGAATGCCCTCGTCGCCCGCGTGTCGCGCGAATTCAGCTCGAAACCGCGGCTCCCCGCGGCCTCGGGCGAACGTGACGTGAGACGCGGGCGACGCGGGTTTGGGCGTTGTTGTTTGCTGCGTGGTTGCGTGCCGGCTCGGGGCGCTCCTGGAAACACCATGTAAAAACACTACGCAAAATGCCCTCGTCGCCCGCGTCTCGCGCCAGTTCCGCTCGAATCCGCAGCTCCCCGCGGCCTCTGCCAAAGGTGACGAGAGACGCGGGCGACGCGGCATGCTGCTGCGTAGGGTTTCGGGCGTGTTGTTTCCCGCGTAGCAGCGTTGCCGACTCGGGGCGCTCCTGAAAACACTACGTAAAAACACTACGCAGAATGCCCTCGTCGTCCGGAATTCGCAGGGCCGCGCCAGCCGCTGGAGCGCCCTGTGACGAGACTTCCCTGGTCACACACGTAGTGTGCGGACGTGACGTACTCACGTACGTAATGCTTCTCCGTAGTGTATGTGCGTAATGTTTTTTCTGCGTAGTGTCTTTCCGTCGTGTTTTGTTTCCGCGTAATGTTTTGCGCAGTGTTTTTTTCCTGCGTCGTGTTTTTGCGTAGTGTTTGTTCTGCGTAATGTTTTTGCGTAATGTTCATTTCACCTTTAAAATTTGGAGAGAGTTATGCCTAAGGGTGAAATAAATCTGCGTAGTGATTTTGCGTAGTGCTCTTGCGTAGTGTTTTTGCGTAGTGTTTATTTCACCTTTAAAATTTCTGTTTCACCATTAAAACTTTCATTTAACCATTAACCACAACCGTCGCAGCGCCGACTCGACCCGCGGGGGTTGGAGGATGGTTGCAACAAATCACGTCCTTGCCCTCCCCGTTCCATCATGCCGTATGCTCCTCCGCATTCCACCCTGCCCTGCCGCTCGGGCCAAATCCGTCGCACGTCGCTTCGCTTCTCAATCCTCCTGTCCGGCGGACCACGCCGAGCCGCATTTCGTGACAGAGTCACCCTGCTGTTGTAGAGCATCGCGCCACGTACCGACGGGAACGCTGAATCAGATGCGAAGGGACTCTTCAGGCCACGGCGAGTCTCGGCCAGGAACAAGCTCCCCGACCCAGATTCGAGGAACGGTCCGAAGACCAGAGCCTCTCCAGAGCCCGAAAGGTCCTTATGTCAGCGTCTTGACTGTACGTTTCCCTCCTTGGGTTTCAGCTGGTTGCGCTGCATTCGAACATAGATCTTCTCCCACCCCCAGCCCTGCAGGACAAGGGAGAGGAAGGACGTGCAAGCAAGGAAAAAGAAACAACGACATTAACATCAACTTTCGGAGGTCCGCGCGGAGTTCTTGAATCGGCGTTGGGCCCCCCTCCCTGGCGCGCGAAGCGCGCCAGGGGCGGCGCTGGAGGCGTCGCCAGGGGGGTCAAGCGCAGATCCAAGAATTCCGCGTGGACCGCCGAAAGTGTATGTTTATGCTGGTTTCTCTTCTTGGAGGGATGGGGCGGAGCAGCCCGCATCGCGACCAGCAGGAGCGATGGCGGACATCAGCGAGCGGGAGCGAGGGCCCCGTGCCTGCCTCCATCGCCTCCTGCTCCCCGCCCCTCGCCCTGGCCTCCCCACCGCCCCTCCATCCTCTGCAGTTGAGACATGCGGTGGGAAATCCTACGATACGACATCTAGGGGTAAATTCGACGTCGGTTCTTGAGCTTCCTAGGGTACTCAAGTGCTTCCGCGGGTCCCAGGGGGCATCTGGGGATCACAATTCCGTAGGGCATATGCAGACACGGCGGTTTCAAATTAGAAGTGCTTGCTCAATCCCTCCTGAACTCCCTTCCTCCCTTTCCCCACCCAATCTCAGCACTCTGGGTTGCATTCTCGTCGGCCTCCAACTCGAGGCCGTCTTCTCCTGCTGATCAAGGGGAGTGTGGTGCAGTCATCGTCATCATGCTACCATTAGGAACTCCGAATATGTAACGAACGGGCTTTTCTGGCTACGGCGAGCCTGGACCACGAATAGGGTCCACGACCAAGGCAAAAGGAACGGCTCGAAAACCAGAGCCCCTCTAGAACCCAGTGGTCATTGTTCCAGCGCCTCGACTGTAGTTCTCCCTGGTCCTGAACCTCCTTCCTCCCTCCCCCGCCCAGTCTCAGCTCTGCGTCTCAGTTTCATCGGCCTCCTCCCGAGGAGGGAAGCAGGGAGCTGAGACAACGGCCGCTCAAAATCGATCCCCCCAGACCCCTCCTAGGGGTCCAAACGCACCTACTATCCGAGCTGCGTCCAACGAGGGGACCCCCGAAGGCCAACTACCTTCGTCTCAACTCGCCCACCTCTGAGTGTTGACCCCTGACACAGCGCCAAGGGGCCTGCTCCCCTGTGCGCATGGGGCTCGCGCCGGCCAGATTCGCCCAGCATAGAGCACCGTGCCCTCCAGGCTGAGCCCGATCTCCCACTCCCTCCCGGAGTGGTGAGATCGCAACGGCCACCCGAAAGGGCGTCCATTCCGCGCACCGCGCGCGTGCTGAGACGCCCGTCCTGTACCGTGCCTCGCAGCGCTGCGCCGGGCTCATCATCGCGTTCAGCTTCACACCACCCGATCCTGTCCCTCCCGAGCTCCCTCCATCAGCCAACCCCAGGCATGATCGCGTTATAGCAAAAATCAGGACGGGAGGTTCTTGACGATTTTCTGCCTCCGAGGGCCCTCGCCGGGCCCAGGGGATCATCAGAAATGACTCGCGAGGAACAAACAACCAGCCCTGTGGAAAGGGCCAGGATTTCCGGGGACCCCGTATGGAAAAAATCAGAACGTCGCATGTCTGGGTCCTCCATCCTCCCTCCTGGCCCATCCCTCCTTGCCTCCAGTTCCCCTCCGTCTCCGGGATGGCCTCAGCCGTGCCGTTCTAACAAGTTGCCTTTTTGCCTGCTGCCAGCTCGACGCGGGCGTGAGTGGGTGTCCCCTTGGTCACTCATTCCCCCTCTCATAATTCACACTGGACACGCACAGTGAACGATTGTGCGGTGCTGCTTACTGCCTGTAACACAAGCTGTCGACGAGCCTCCATGGGTCATGAGGTCATGAGGTTCGTTCCCCCACCCTCCAAGCGGAGCATCAGCGGTTGACTGGGGGCAGGGTTTCCGATTCCGCGCGCAAGGCGCACCCGCTGAGCCGCCCGCCCTATCCTGCGCCTCGTAGCGCTGCACCAGGCTCATCATCTCGTCGATCTCGCGCGGACCAAAACTGAGGCCGTCCAAGTGAAGGCTCGAGATGTTGTCGAACTCGATGAGATTCATGATGTACCTTCCGTACCATCTTTCCAACAAAGATTCGGATGGGTGGGGGCACCCAGAGATCGAACCGGAAAGGCTGGGGCGTAGCTGTTCGACACACGCTCTTTGTCTGAACTAAGAATGCTGCCGCCAGCTGATCTTTCGGGACCAATGAACCTCGCATAATTGACGCGCGAGGAGGTTTCGGCAAAGGTGATCACGGCGCATCTGGAGCACCACGCGCACTTGACAGCTTGTTAACCAGCGAGAGAGGAACCTTGCGGCGGCAAAAATCAGAGGGACGACGCGCCCAACGGACGAACGACGGATGACAGACAAGAGCGACGGAAGCGGGTGCGCGGGGAGGGGGAAGGGCGGGGGCGGGAGAGCGGCAGAAAAACGGAACACGCGCGCAAGGCGCGCGCCCGAACCCTTCCCCTGCTCGCCCACGCGCGGCGCGAGCGCCGCCCCGAAGATAACCGTGCACCCGTTGCCCGCGGAGCGCTCGGGCACGGCGCGGCCCGGGGCCTAGCTGGGAAGGAAGCCGGGGGCCCTCGCTGCACCCGACCTGGGGTCCAATCCCAGGGGCGAGGAAGAAGGGGGATGATGAGGATGATGAAGAGGAAGAAGAGGATGACGATGAGGAGGATGAGGAGGATGAGGAGGACGAGGTGGAGGAGAAGGCAGAGCAGGAGAAAGAAGAGGAGGAGGAGGAGGAAGAGCCGGAGGATTTTTTCTCCTGGAATGTTCAGGAAACCTAGCCGTGAAATCTAGCTGACCTGCGGCTGCTGGCGACTAAACCCAGCTATGCACCCAAACAAATGCAGCAAAAAACCGCGGGAAGAGCAAATCAATCGATTTAGCTGCAGTCGGCAGCACCGAGGGCCAAACGCGCCCTTTCACGTGCGTGGACGCGTTTCGGCCAATGCCTGCATGCGGGGGGTCTGTATTAGGCCGCCTGCACTGCTGGACGCGCCAACTTCCCCGGGTGGTGGTAGCGACGAGGCATATGACAAATTCGTTACACCTCGTCGGCTGGGGGTGGTGACTCGGGACCGCTCCTCCCTATAATGGGGATACAAACCCTGGTATATCCTACGAAGGGTAGTGGGTGCCCCAGACAATATGTGCTGTACACATTCTCTACCTAAGAGGTAGCATCTACTGGAGGTGTAGGCGCCACACACAACACAAAAGAGCATGATTTTCTCCTGGCCGCCTTTACTTACTTTACAATGGGCGATGGTGTGTCCCAGAGTTGGGTCCAAGGTCTGGCGGAACGTTTTGGACATGCCTTTATATCCTACCATGGGGCGCGTGGCGGGGTCCCCCCAAAAGGCCAAACATCGAACGCATTGGGCATGACCTTCCCCGAGGTCTTGCCACGCGTGCCAGCCGCCCGACTTCAAAAACTTGGCCCTGGGACCTCCTCCAGCGCATCTCTCGAAACGCTTTTGCGGGAAAACCGCGGAAACTTCACCAAGGACACGGGGCAACACCTGGAGCTGCTTCAACTTCGCATCCACCTCCTTAGTTTCGAGGGAGGAAGGTTGAGGGTGGTCGAGGAGAGCCCCCTTGGCCTGTGCATCGGCATGCCAGTTACCAAACCGATGCGACGTTCGGCATCTGGCAACGAGTCTAACACCTCCATATGGCGGTGGGCGGGCGCGTGGAGGATGGGCGGGTCGTGGCCCGCGGACTCGTGGAGAAGCGATCCACGCCTCAGTCCTGCATGGCGGTGTTTATGGGAGACCTGATGGGCACGGGAGCTCTGGCATAATTTAATCACCGCCATACTGTCACCAAAACGAGCTCCTCCGAACTTCTGAAACATAGGGGCGAAGGCCATTCCGAAATGTTCCCCCGCTTGAGACGTCTGCGGGAGGGCGTCAAGGACCGTGCCGCGCGCAATGGCCAGGATCTCATTAGGGCCTTGCCCCAAGAACAGCCAAGCGTAAGAGGCGCGGGACAACGCGCGAATGCTGTGACGCATCGCCGATCCATTGATACAAACATCGGCACCAGTAAAATCAACACTGCCCCAAGGTATCTCGTTGCCCTGAGATCAAAAAAGTGGGGGTTGGGGTCGGTGCTGAGGGGGGGGGCATCTACCTTCAGGGTGCTCCCACTTAAGTTCATCAAACAGCGTCCTATCGTCATTTTCGAAGGCATCCGCATTCCAAGGTCCAACGCACAGGATCATCGCCGAGCGCCTCGGTCCACGCCTGCGCAGCGTCGGGGCGCATGCATTGCCACGCTCGGTGGCGGGCGCTGTCAAGCTGGCCGCACAGAGGGCAGCAGCCGTCTGAGCGATGCCCTAAGGACCGAGCCCTCGAACGGGTCTAGATACCCTTGAAAAAACAGGCGAGGGCCATATATTTCCCACGGGGCGACAAGCCTTTCCCACGGGGCCCGAGGAGCTTTCTCAGAGGTTCGACGCAAACGCGGGTACCTTGGAAACCGGCGGTAGTCGAAGCGAGCTTACGTTCATGGGCCCTCCGGGCGGCCTGATCGAGGAGGTAGGGGGGGGGGGGGGGGGCGAGGTGTAACTCATGGGATGTCCCCTCCCGTAATCTTCGACAAATGACAAGGCCGAAGTGGAGGTCCAGCCGATGCTATTCAAACTCAAATGCGCCCTCTGAACAGAGCTCCTGGACGTTCTCCAAGCAACCGAATCATCGAGCGGGAGCGCTTTCCATATGTTACACAACTCTTTGATGGCACAATACGAAACTTCGGGCGTGGTGAGAGCAATCCACGCCGCACTCGCCCAATGAAGAATGGGCGCAACCGAGGCGCGCCGCAGTGGGTCGCCACATATCGCCAGCTTGGCATGAAACGAACAGCCTCGGTGGCGCGGGGGCTCAAAGGCAAGTAAAACACGGCGGGCCTGCTGCAGCTCGAAATCGCTCATCCCCAGGACCGCGGGCCCAAGCGCGGTGGCAGGTAAAACCTCCGCCGTGTATATTTTGCCGGTCCGTCCTTATTGTCATGGCATCCCCTGCCCGATTCGTTGAAGTACTTTGTGACGGCGACGCGCGTCGCCGAAGCGCTTCTTGCGCCCCCATGTTGCACGAGGTCGCGACCGTTGCTGGCCAGGGGCAGGATCCGTTCCAAGCGATGCGACGCTGTTCGACACCGCCCCCGCTATCCTTCCCAAGAGGTTCGCGATCTTCCTAGCCAGCGCGGCAACCCTATCAAGATGCGCAGCGACCTTGAGGTCGTCGCGGAAAAAGATGGAGACGGCCGCTGCCGCACGAGAAAGATTGCACAACACTTCCTCCTCGGTGCCGCGCGACGTGACGCTGTCGTCATCCACGTGCGAGGAGAGCCAGACATTGGGGTGCTCCATCGTGAATCTGCCGAAGGCCCCTATGCGGTAGGCCCGAAACAAAACGCAATTAAAAATGTCTCCCGCTGGCAAACCCGAGTTTGCGAAAACATGGAGAACGCCGCGCTGGGCCCCAGACCGCAAGAGCCCAGGGCCTCGCCAGTAGTTGAACGTAGTTTTAACGACGACAGGGTTGATGCCACAATCGAGGGCCCTCTGGCGGAGGAGGGCTAAATCGAAGGGCTCATAGTATTTAGTGCCGTCCCATATAATGCCCCCGTGACCTGGTCTTCATGGTGGGCAACCTCCGACTGGACAGCCTGATGCCGCGCGGCATCCTCGGCGCCGCGACCAAGGCCGACGGCCCAGTACTTCCGAGGGTAACGATTGTTAAATTCAAGAATGGTGGGCCGTCGCAAACACCACCGCGCTCGGACGGGCCCCGCGAGCAGGAGGACAGGGCGGAGGCCCCCTTTCGGTTTCTCCAGAAGGGGGAAAAGCCGCCAGACAAGATGTTTCGGAGAGAGGCCCAAGCTTTGAATAGCCTGGATAATCGCAGCGAAAGTTTCCAGAGCTGCGTCCGACACTAAGCTCAACTGACGAGGGCGGGCCCCATCGAGCGACTGGGACGTGAGATGGGAGAAGGATCGAGTGGCATTGCGGATGTCCTCAACAGTGGGGCGCGGCGAATGCGCCCTCTCATGCGCGCGCGCTTCGGACGGCCCGTGCGAGGCGTGCCGGAACTTAGCGATCTCTTCTCCAGCATCCCTCAGCAAGGCCCGGGGATCGCCGGAGAAGATCCCTGGGTGGGTCTGAACGACCGTGGGGTTCCATCGTTCCTTCAGTCTCGCAAGGCGATGCATGGCCCTAGCTCCCCCCTCCAGCGCCTTCTCCTGCCGCTCATCCCAACTGTCCTGCTGCCGCTTAGCGATGGCCTTGACGGCCTCTTGGAGGTCATCCTCTCAAGACTCGAGAAACTCCTGGCATTGCTGTCGCCGCGAGGAGTTGTCTCCGACGGGGAAACGACGGGCGAGGGCCCTAGCCTGCGAGATGGTAGCGTCGAGGCGCACGCCGGTGCCTTCGCCTGGGCACGGCGTAGACAGCAGCTGGGAGATTTGCATCTGAACATCTTGGGACAAAACGATAGACCGTCATGGTCAACCCGATCTTGCTGGGGCATCGAATGAAGCCTGCTGGAGGCTCCGATGGTTTCGGCCACGTGGTGGGCCAGCCAGATCCGCCCCGCGTGGGACTCCCGGGTCTCGACCGAACTCGGTTTCGCAAAAATCGGAATCCAACGGGGTTTGGCCAATGCGCCTTTGAAACCTTGCTGCTTAATCGTGACTCCTGTGAAGGTCTCGAGCTCGAGCTCGAAGGTGTTAGCGAAATACTGCCGCGCAAGGGTCAGCAGCTCCCGGGCCTCGCCCACTGGCGCTGTCAGGGCCTTGGCGGCGGCTGCCTCGGCAAGGTCGCGCGGCGTAGACCAGTCCTTCGGACGCGGAATAGGTCCCACAGGAAGACTTGTGGGTAACCTTTGGCGGGGTCGATGCGCGAGCGGCTCTCAGGCGGCGGCGTCATCGCGAAGCGTAATGATGACAAGTCTATGTGGCCTGTGGGTCCACGCAGCGACGGCATTTATTCTGCTGCAAGCTCCAGCAAAGCTCGCGCCAACAAAAGAGTCATATATCGTGGTAAGGCTG